ATCCATAAGTCCGCCTAACAGCCGCCCCCGTTCCCCATGTCTCCTGATCCACTAGCTCCTCGGCCGTCCACCCTACCAACTATTCAAGTCCCTACTGCGACCACGCAATACTTCGCCACATACGAGAAGTCCCCACATCTGAACGTATCCTACCGGAGCACATGCAGCTTGTCTACCGCCCTTAGTCGCATCTGCTTCCCTTTTGATGCTCGTTGCTTCTGATGCAGGCACCTCGTTTCTCGCATCCATCACAGACAGGTACATCTTGTATAGGGCTGAGTCCCCTGGCAGCAACCCACCATCGACCTTCCACCAGTTGTTGATGCTGAGGGCTAGGATGAACTGGAAATATCAAATGCCCGCCACACCATTGACCTCGGCTCGCAATCATGGCCATATTCGATGTCCATATCGCAACAGATTCGATTAGCTTTGGTCAAGTTGTAAGTGATCAACATCGGACGGCATGGCTATCCCGCCTTCGGGCCTACAAATCATCATGGTTGTATTTTTGTGTTGGCCCTTGACGATCCCTCGTATTCATTAACCCCGTATTCTAAAATCACGCATACCGCTCTCTGGCAGATCGCAGAAGCCTCGCATGGCCGCCACCGACTACCTCTGCAGCCAGAAGATGGCAATGTTTGTGGACCAGCACCTTCAGCCTTATGCTCAGGCACATGCGTTCGCACCTTCGGCCGAAGGCACTCCTTGGCTCAGTGTTGGCATTGCGTTTCCCGCATCAGTAACAACAATGGTATGTAAGCTCAGGCATCAAGGCAGATTAATTCCACATCTACCCTGATAACACCTTTCGCTTTCGCTTAGTCCGCCCCTGGAACCGGACTCACTCTCAAAGATCTTAACCTAGGTGCCTGGACAATAAGTAACAGATGCGGTGGCAGGCTATGTAGGCAATGCAGATCTCTTCTTGATCTGTCCTGCCTTAGGCCGAGCAGCTGAAAAGAAGGTTCCGCTTCTTAACCCCGGTGTGGTGATATTGTACAAGTAGAGTCATATTGATCGACTCCCAGAACATCCTTGGCCTTGCTGTCCAGGAGAGAAATACTACCTTTGGCACTCAAACACGATTGGCTGCAGATTGGCATGTTGCTAAATCCAACACCAGAGTCCGGAAACGTCGGTTCCTTCACACATTATTCACTCATCGTGGTATCATTAGCGAGGTCGCGATCTCGAACTCGGGAAGAAGACTTCTAAAGCAGCGGTGGGTGGATAGCATGGGCCATCTCCTGAGTTTGTACGGGAACGTTAAGCCCTACGGCCCTAATACAAGTGGACTTTGCACACCGTTCTCCACCCGATGGTCTGCGTCTACTACTGGGACATCCTTCCTGTTATGCGCCCAGTACGTCCTATCAGAACAGGAGATGAGAATTCCAGTATACTTGGGAGGAGCCCGGCTGTGTCAGCAGCTGCCCGCGAGAGGCGCTACCTTACGATATGGTCCCAATCGTGGACATCTAATGTCGTGGCACTCTTCCACGTTCCGATCTTGACCCCGGAATGGAATTCCCGTACGGCCCTTTCTACTGTACGCCCAAAGGAACCCCGTTGGGTCCCGCCCCGGTGAGGTAGAGTGGCTCAGCCCATATGTGGACAAGACTACATAATGTCTCTGCTGCTGAGCCACGGTTGTGCCTTCTCCAGATGAGAAGAAATGGACTGGTCCAGTTCACGTACTTACGCCTTCACAAGTCACAACACACGAGGGACGATCAATTACACGACCTCGACGACCTCCCCTGGTGTTGGGTCCCACTCAATCCTATTCAGCTCCAGCACTGCTGTCTCCACATGGTATTATGCTGATACCATATCAACAAACGATCTGCTCAAGTCCTTCGGTCATGAACACAAGGCCCCAACATAGCCGCACAGTGGTGAGTTCACCCGGACACAAAACCTCAGAAGAGACACAGGAAATCAAACCAAAAGGAGAAATTCATGAGGCTGAAGGTCGTTCTACTCTCTCAGAACCCTAGAAGCCATTGTCGTCCCTGGTTCCCCTGATCTTCCCGCCCTGCGCCTTACCTTTAATGTTACTCTGCACTCGGATTGAAGGGTGATTTGTCCCTTCCCGACCCCAATGCCCGGGAGACCATCTTATTTTCCTGTCCAGCCAACTGCACCTCGGGCACGGCACTTATATCACTGCACACCAGATCTTTCCTATCAGTCCTAATCTGCGTTTAAAAGAGAATTTGATACTCACTCCCACAGTTTTATGAGCCTACCGGTGCTCTGCCCATAGCCTCGACCGATCCGAAGACAACACTGACTCTTTTTGGAGACCAGTTCGTCTGTCAGATGCTCGAAGATATATCCGGCACTGGCATGAGCAGTAATCTGAATGTGGGCAACTCCAATGCATCACTACCCCATCCGCCTTCTCGTGCGATGCCGGGTGATAAAGCACGCATGAAGAAATGGGCACCAAAGACGTTCAACGGATGTCTTACCTGCAAGTAAGCCTTCAAATGTTTCCCTCTACTGTCCTTCTCCACTGACGAACTGTTCTTGCTATAAGGCGAAGACGGATAAAGTGCGACGAGGGCAAACCATCCTGCCAGAGGTTGGTCAACTCTGACACTTTCATTAATTCCATCACTGATATGACCCAGATGTATCAAATCAAACCTCAAATGTAATGGATATGCTGCACCCAAGATCAAGCTATTTGATCCGACTGCCTCGTCAACAGCTTCAAGCTCAACGCCACCGCCCGCAACAAGCCAAGCCCTCGAGTCTGGACAGAAACCCGCTTCACTTGACGACAGTGAATGGCATTCGACTTCGCTAACATATCCTCATCCTCAAGAGCTCGCGCTTGTTCCTAGATTCGGCACGCAGGAGGAATCACAAAGCTTCCAGTTCTTCCTCGAAAAAACCTCCGACCTGATCTCAGTATACTCGCAGCCATATCTATGGACGGTGCTCCTGCCTCAAGCTACATGGCATCAAACCTCTATCAAGCACTCACTCGTCGCACTTGCTTCACTACACCGATACCTCACCACGGTCGGCCCTGCTTCACAACGAGCAAACCATAACTTTGTGTTCCACTACAACAGTGCCATCCGCGCCTTGGTGGCTGATAGACCGTCCATTGATGTTGTGCTCGCGGCATGTGTCATCTTCTGGGCGCTGGAGAATTTCAATGGAGGTGGCCAAGTGGCCATCGACCATATGCAGGCCGCGCTCAAGATCTTGGGGGAGTGGAAAAGCAAACACCGACCCAATGACCCCTCCAAAGACTTCATCATCAGATACATCGAACCAACAATTCGAGACGGAGTTAAATTCGCCTCGAAATGTCGTGTCGAGGAACTGGCTAGCCAGATGAGCGCACTGTCCCTGACAACACGCGATGTGAGGATCATGAACATGGAATACCCTGAATTCAATAGCCTGGAGGATGCAGGCAACTACTTGAACGACTGTATCGGGGACATTCTCGCGCTTAAAGATCAGGCTACGGCACTACTCAGTCCAGGTCCTCGCCTTATCGAACAGGTAGAAGGGCTCGACGCCCGCCTCTACAAGTGGATGAATCTGTTCCAGAGCCTCACGGCCACTGGGCCTGTGTATACCCGACGCATGCTCGTTGTGCATAATGTCGCTGCAAATATACTGCTGGACCAACTCAAGACACGAACGCAATATGATAATACAGGCGACGAAGTGGAGCAGGAGGAGCCGCGTCGCTGTCGATTTAATTTCACCGTCCTTGAAGTTGAGGATATTCTAAGATACGACCCACTAGCTACAGTTGAGACACGAAGGAAGAAACCACCGAGTCTAGGATTCATTCCGCCTATATTCCTGGTAGCGACCACGGCGCCAAAACCTGAGACTAGGACAAGAGCGATGAACGTGTTGAGACTGTTGAACGTGACCGAGGGTCCGTGGAATACAGATCATGCGGCGCAAATAGCGGGACGGATGCTGGAGATCGCAGACGAGTGTGCGATTTCCCCTTCGGCAGTCGAGTTGCGCCATCTCCATTTTGGTTTTGACCCAGACCAAAAGGTGCTGAGTATGCGATGGGCACCGGAAGACCCGGCGATGCTGAATGTGAGCATGATCAAGCAGATCGATGCTCATAACATGAACTGGAGCGAACCGGTAAGTCTACACGTTCTGCTTCCTTGAACTACGAATTGATATTTTGGTTGCAGACCGCTATACCTGAGTTGATCAAGAGATTCGGCTATCAGTTACCACCTTCTACGGCCAGACACCCCCTTCTGAATGTTGATCCGACGTAGCAGTTCACTGTGCGGCCTACGTGCAGATGTGCGGCGAGGGATCAAGAACCTCTGGTGCTAATGATAGCGCCGACATGACGCCGACCGATGGAACACTATTATACTACCCTGCTGGACGGGTGGACAGAAGGACTTGTCATTTGATTGAATGCTCGAGCGACACCAACTACGAACAACGGTGACGCCGATGGGCATCCTTGTTGACGACACGACCTTCCTTCAGTGGGGGACTTTCTTTGATGAATGCGGTTTTCTTGTCACTTTGAAAGTTGACCTTTATTTTCGGACCGGGGAATTAGTTTCTTTTGCTGGTCATTCAAGCCCAAGGTTCTAGACTTGCTTCAGGCTATTAGAGCAGCAGCAGCAGCAGCAGCAGCAACGTGGGTTGGGAATGAACAACATGAATGGAATGGGCTGGGCTGGAACCAGGTTAGATTGAGTGGACAGAACAGTCAACAGGAACAACAAGTAACAGGCAACAGGCAACGATCGCAATTAAGCACACGACAATGGTCATGATCGCTGGGGCGTTTTGCATGTATTATTTGACAATGTTACAGACATTATACAGAGCCGGTCTGCGCTCGTTTTCTTTCATCAGGTGATGCTGTTCCTGGTTTTCATGTCCCCTTCGTGTCAAGATGTCTGAAAACTTTTGGTCGTCTGCTTTAGCTTGCTTGAAATCCTTGAGTTGTGCGATTTCCAAGTCTATCTCGGCGGCGCAGATGCTCCTGGACCGGGACCGAGACCTGAACCTGGAATCGGAGTGATACCTGAATGACCATGGCTCTGGCTCCCCTGCCTCGACGACTTGGCCGCTGCACTCCCCGCGGCTGCCTCCTGCTCGAGGAAATGCTGCCACAGCTCCGCCAAGGTCTCGCGGGAGTGCGGGCTTGTGGCGCTCTCGGGCCCGGCGCCGAAGTAGTCCGGGTGGTTGAGGGCCGGAGTGCTCGGGGTCCTGTGCACGATGGGCGAGCCTGGAGAGGCGACGGCGGCTGTCAGAGAACCCAAGCCGCGCAGGGAGTTGAAGCTCGAAGTCGAAGTGGTGGTGGTTGACACCGACCCGCCAAAGGTCGTCCCGGGCCTGGCCAGGCCGGCCTGTTCGCGCTGTTCATCGTTCCAGCCCAGCAGGGCGGCGATGAGCTGGAGGATCTGGAATTTCTTGGGGTCCGAGCGGTCGAGGGCCAGGAAGTGCAGGAAGTGGTTCGTCACTATCTGTCTGTGTAGGAGGAAAAACGCGACCGCCCTCCGAGGAGAAGGGCGTGTGCCACTCGTCAGTCAGCCAGAGAGAATGTCAAAAGGACCAAACAGAACAAGAATTGGATCGGGTTGTACGAGAGAGACTTGTGAAAGGGCGAAAAAGGGGGGGCCGACAGATAGAATAGTGGAAAGGGGGTACAGCGGCACGATTGGGCCGAAAAAGGGCCTCAGCCTCGTCATGTGGCGAATGATCGTCGCAACCTGGGGGGGAGTGTGAGAGTATTCTAAAATTATAGTTCTGACACTGCATTGAAATCGATGAGGCGTGCCTTGGGGGAGATTCTTTTTTGGAAACGCGGAGTAACGAGGAATGGAGCAACAATCCATTCATTCGTCCACAACGCACAAAGATGGAGGGCCCAGCCAGGCACATGGCTTCGGAGACATGTGGTGTATTGTATGCAAAGGGGAAAAAAAAGGCACTCGGAGACATTTTTGCAGCAAAAGTTGAGAAAAGGGGAAAAAACCCACCTATCCACGTTATCCTCGGGTTTGCCTTTCTTGAGAAACCTCAGCGCCTTAGTAAGATGATCGTTGAGAATGACGGCTTCATGCCGCAGCTTGCCGATCAGGAGGTTCTTCTCTTTGACTTCCTTTTCGAAGGGAAGGGCTCGCTCGAGTTCTTTCTTGGTCTGTTCTAGTTCCGCCACGGTCGAATCATGGGCCGCCTGGAGGTCTGACAACTGTCTTCGCAGGTCTTCTTGTTCGCTCTGAGAAGTTTCGACCAGTTCTTTCAGCTCCTGTTTTCGCAGTGTTTGGATCTCCTGGAGCGCTTTTTGAAGACCTTCGACCGTTGACGAGTGGGTGTCCCTCTCGCTGACTGCTTTCTCGTACGCTTCCTTTAACGAACCGAGTTGTTCCTCTAAATCAGCGTTGCGGTCCGCTAGGTCCTTGCGCATGGTGCGTTCTTCCATGGCAAGAACCTCCCAGTCGTGCATAGCCTGTTTGGCGTTCTCGAATTCGTCTCGTATGTAGGCTTCGGACTCGACGAGTTCTTCTTTCTCCTTGAGCCAGTTTTGCTGGGAAAGCGTCAGGCGGTTGCGGAGAGTGGACAATTCTTTGGACTGTTCCGACTGTTTCTGCTCAAGGTCGGCATTTCGAGCCGTGAGTTCTTCGACCTCGGCGGAGCGGGCGGTGTAGCGCTCTTGCAGTTCGGATCTCTGTTCTTCGAGCTCTTCAATCCGCGTCCGTGCCTGCGCTAGATCCTCCTGTAGAATACTCTGTCAGTCTTGCCAGGGGCCGTCTTCCTCAAATCGTCTGGCTCAAGCCATCACGTACTGCATCGGCCTTTAATCTCTCCCCCAACTGCGACCGTATAGTATTCACCTTGCCGAGCAAGGACTGGTACTGTTCCTCAGCATTCTCTTTTTCGACCTGCGTCTCAGCCAGCTCTGTCTGGACCGCTTCGATTTCCGTGGCATGCTTTGCCTGCAGTTCTTCCAGGGACTTGCGCAGCTCCGTCACCTCGAGTCGTAGGGCATCACGGTCTTTGACAAGAGCGTCAAAGCGGGCAGCTGCATCATCATCGTTGTCGTCGTCGATCGAGAGATCTTTGACCCCGTTGGCAACAGTTACCGTATCTGGGGCTTCATCCCCTGACCCCTCTTTGACAGGGGACACTTCAGTGTGCTCTGCTTCTCGCTCGTCATTTTCTGCGTCATCCTCGTCGTCCGGACCGTTCTGCGTCTCGTGAGGGTCGACCGGTGTCGTGGGGGCGTCCGTCTCTGTCTCTGTCGTTGCGGCTTGCGCGTTGCCCTTTTTCTTGGACTTTTTCTTCTTTTTGGATTTTTGGTCTACCACGGTAAGTAAGCATGAGCGAACGTTTACAACCGATCACAGTGTACATTACGTACCTCCCTGAGGCATCGAAGACATGTTTGTGGAAGACATGATCTTATGCTGGGTTCTAGAACCAGGGCCTGGACATTGGGGATGCTTTGGGATTCTCGAAACGTGTCAATTGTTGCTTGGCATAATGCACTTGCGTTGTGCTGCACGCCATCGTGTCATGCTGGTGACGGGCCGAGCCCCCTTTCGCTGATTATTCCGCCGAAGCAAAAGCATCATCCGCCTCTGGCTATCTTTAGTGCCCTCGTTACCTATTTACAAGTGTACCTCGGACAGACCATACAATTCTCCGGTCATGATGTTGGAAAAGAAAACATTTGTTCGCCAAGGTACAAGATCATATACGCCGTCGTGAACCGTCAACTCACCATGAGAATGTTCATTTCAATGCTTCCACAAACAAGCCTCTCATCCCTTTGAGAAGAGTCCCGATCTCCCTCGTCGCATTTAACCGGTCAACCACCTTTGCGACCTTGACACTCTCTAACCTAGGCTTCGTATACGACACGTCGTATCTCCCGCGTCCGGTATCCGGCACCAGCAACTCAAAGAGGCCTTCCCTCTCGTCGCCGGAATTCCCACCACTGCCTTTCGCTGGCGGGAACACGAACACAATCCTGACCTTGTTCTCATCCCCGCTGCCTTCGATGCGGCAACCCAGATATGTCTCCCAAAAACTGAGCTCCGGGCCGTTGAGTCGGCTCTGGCCATCCATCTTCGCAGCGTATTCTCTCTGTGCTTGTAACTTCGCGTCGATCTGCCGCTGCGTTTGTGCGATGGCGGATTTGAGCCGGTCTCGCTGTGCCGACTGCGCCGCCTGGTGTGACTCCAGCTTGGATATTTGCGCGTGCATCTCGTTCTTTTCTGCCTGCTCACGGGCGAGGACCTGGCTATGCGTCGACAAGGTAGATTGTAGGGTGACGATCTGTGTGTTTGCTGATCTTTGCTCCTCTGTACGAAAACCTCATCAGTTTTGGCTCTCTCGACAAACACCTCGACTGCGCCTTTGCGCAAAGCGAACTGTTGTTTGCTGCTGCCGTTGTTGTGGAGGGACTTACCATTCAACTCTCCCAGGCGCGCCCGAAACTCGTTCCTCTCCTCCAGCACCCTCTTTCTCCCCCTCTCAATGAATGCGTCAAACTTGACTGTGAAATCGGCCATTCGCTTGCGGAGATCTTCAAAGTTGAAGTCAACCGCAGGCAGTTGCGTGAGCGGGTTGTCCGAGTACGAGATGGGTGGCGCGATTTGCTGCGACTGCGACGCGCGGAAGGAAGACGTGCTGGTCGCGAATGCCGAGGGAGGCATGGCGGCGGTAGTCATCGTTGCGAGAATGTGTCTGTGTTTCTGCTTTGGCGATAGAGTCTGTCTGGGGAATATGCTGCGGAGTTCAATCAATGTGAGGTGGTGCGTCGTAGTCGCAGCCGCAGTCACAGTTGGCGAAAACGGTGGGTGCGCAGAACACAAACCCCAGTCGGCCGGGCAACCAACCGCCGAGGCTGATTCAGCGATCGAACCAACAACACCGCAGTTTCACTCCAGCACCAGAGAATACATGATGTGAACGAGGTACACGCTAAGTGCATGTTCAACCAACATTTGTTATTCATACAATTTGGTATCTCTTCGCTTGTTAGAAAGACATAACTCTAACTCTGACAAATTATCCTTCATTTGATGGAATCCTCCCGTATTTCCGAGGCGAGTTCTTCCCGCCCCTCGCTGTTCTCGCTGCTGGCATCTCCCGCGCCCATCAGCTGGGCAAGCATCGCTTCCATTCTTTCCAAGGCGTCTTCTATCTTGTGCAGCCTCGCCGTCGCCTCCAGAAATCGGCCGTCTTGTCCACCGTCCAGGTCAACCAGTGAGTCAATTCTTTCGCGCCTGTTTGGCTTGCGATAACCGGGCGGATGTTGGTCATCGTCCCCACCCTCATCACTCGAGTCACGAAACTGGTCTTTCAACTTCTGGTCGACCTGTGACTCTCTCCTTCCACTCTTCGCAGGCTCCGGATTGACTGGTGGGTTTTGACTCGAATCCACCGTCTGACTCTCTCTCCTTTGCTCCGACAAGTGCGTGAATTGGTCCTGCAATTTGGTGTTGGAAAGGATCCCCATGTCGTCGCTGTGATTAAGGTTGTCTTCTTCGGCGATCTTGTCCAGTACTGACTGTGGCGGATCAATGTCGAACACTGCGTGGATATCTCCATGTACACTAAACCGTGAGAGAGCCCAATATTGCGCAGGCGTCGCCCTGGGGCCGCCGGGATGCTTCCAGTCAATTTTCTTGCTGCTGGCAATCTTGCGCTTGTCCGAAATCCAGAGCGTTCTCCTCTCGTACCATGCAACTATCAGCAATGTTGGTAGGTTGATCGCCCTGACCGCTACGACGTTGACCTTGTGGAACATTCTTTTGGAGAGCATCCACTTTAAAGGCAGCACAAATATCAGTGCGAGGATGTTGAATGGGGGCATGTACGCAAAGATGGCGTCTGATTTGACCCCTTCGAAAGTGAGGACAGCTCGCCGGAACTGGATTTCCTGAACAGCGTTGCCAACGATGCCGCTGAATGTGTTTGTCAGCATCGAGACGAGAACGGTGAGGAACAACGTGTTGCCCAGGAAAGCGAACAACACCATCAAGGCGGGTCCAAGGAGCCAATGGAAGTCTGGGGACTGATCAATACCAGTCCCGTCGAGACCGAACCAAATCCAGATCATCCACTCCCCGATGGTCACAGCCTGATGAGCGCCAGCATGCAACCACTTAAGGCTCAGGAGGAACCCCGCAAAGCACCACACGGCCAGCGCAGTCAGTGTCAGGAAATCAGACATCATCGCTCTCAAGGAGAGAAACAACATATTCTCCGACATGACGTTGAATGCTAGTCGAGGAATAAGCACCGGAGCGGCGCAGCTGAGAATGTCCAGAGCAGTCCGCGCGAGGGCAATGGACTTTTCCTCGTCGACGAAGGAGGAGGCCCAGATTCGTAAGACAAAGTATATGATGAATATTGTCGAGAACATGACATCGAGAAACGACCACAAATTCTGAGTATACACACCCCAGCCATGTTCGAGAATAGATGCGAGTTGATCGAGTACCTGGCAGGATCTCCTTGTCAGCCATACATCATTTCTCACAGAAAAAAGGACGTACCCAACCAGCCCCATAAACATCAAAGACCAGCTCGAGGACCTCGTAAGTGGTGTCCATCCTGTTTTCTCTCGCCGCCATGACCGCGATGTACAGGGCGAGTAGAATGACAAATTGACACACTTCAATCAAATTTCTCGTTCGTGGCACAATCAACCTGTATTGATTCAGCAAGGGGGCTCGTCGCGGGTCGTACAGGGAAATGGGTCTCTTCTTCCAATGGTCGGGTATGATGTCGATGAAACTGCTGGGCGTGTATACGACCTTGCCTCGGTAAATGGCGTCCACGACCTTTTGACAAGCACTGCTCGCCAGGAACGACTTGCTGGCGCTGACGATAGCAACTTCCAGGGCTGTCAGTTTCCTCTCCACTTTACCGGACTCGGACCTCCGCTGGGCGGTCCAGTAGTGCATCGCATGCTGACTCTGCGAGGTCACCTCGTCGGGCGCGCCCTGGAACGGTTCGAATCCCGCAACCAGGATATTTGCCAGCTTGAGCAGGCCCCTCGGTCCGGGATTGTGCTCGTTGTATCGCCGGAGGATCTTTTCCGCCACGAGCTCACACAGAAGCGCGCGCGTGAGGTTCACCGTCTGATGGTGCGTCGCGTACGACTGTTCGCGGATGAATTGCATTCGGTTGACGAGCAGGCAGTACACTACGGAAATCGTATGCATCAGCACGGACAACACAGTAACGATTCAACTAGGGGGTATGAGGGCACCAGACCGATCGATAGGTCGTTTGTCTCGTACAGAGAATCGACCAAGGGCCGCACAACTGAGATGTTCATTCGCGGAGCTTTGAGCTGGTCGAGAGAATAGGGGTCATCTGGCACAACGAATGTCAGCTCGTGGTGATGACTTCACAGTCTGGCAACCAAGCTCGACCTCTGTTGGGAAGCACTCACCGATGCTTGTGATGATGTCTCTCCGTATGCTATACCGGACAGATCACATGTCAGAATTCGGATTCGTCAAAAGGTTGCAATATCAAATGCTCCCCCTTCTCTCTTGACTTCCCCTCTCTGCATTCATGCTGTGCTTGAGTGGCACTTCCAAGGACGATCCAACTCCCTCGAATGTTGTTGCATACTCCCCAGTCCCATCCAGACACCCTATCGCTCAACCGACCAAGCTCCATAAACAAAAAGCACAGATATATCGACAGCATGGTCCCATCTGGAAAGACAGACATAGAAGGCAATACCAGGAGAGGACCCGTCGATCAAACTCACCGATGAATGTTTTCATAGACGTTACAGTGCGCGTTGCCAAAGGGGTCTGCCTCGGCCGGCGGCCGCCCGCCCAGCCGGTCCTGGTCGCGGCTCGTCCACGTGCAGTGCGGCGGGTACAGGCCGTCGCTGTCGGCAAAGTCCTCCTCGTCGTGCTGCGTTGCCAGCAGCGCCTCCGTCTCCCCGCGCTGTCGGTTGAGCCGGAACTGCGCCGAGAAGGCACTCCCCGTGGCGGGTTTCCTACGTCGTCGCTGTCGCCGCGAGGACGTCGACGACGATGACTTGTTCTTTGACGGTGCTGGGCGCGCTCGTGCGTGGTCGCCGCCGTTGGCGTCCCTAGCCGTTGAGCTGGGTGGGGATGGCATGGCGGGTTTGCAATGTGTGGTCGTGTTGCGTATTGAGGGTAAGTATTTATGTCCCCGTATGTATATGCAGGGTCAGTCGGTATGGAGGTATGTAGTGACGGCGCGGCGCGGCGCGAAATAATGGGGATCAAATAAAAGGTAACGTAACGGAGACACACGCTGAAACGTTGGAAAGGGGACAAAAACCAATCAATCAATCAATCAACCGGTCGATCCAGGATTCCGTCTCATGGCTGCTGACATGATTGTCGATAGTGCAGGGGGACGGCGGATCCAGACC